TTCTCTGAAAACACCACCTGGATCACAATGTTTTCCACAAAAGACAGAAGTTCCTTTGATCAGTGTTTAGACGAAAACGACGTTGTACCAGATGAAGAACGAAATCAGTTAAAACGGCATTCGCAAGACGCAAAGTACAGTAAACTGGTGTTCTTGACGGAGCCGCCAGTTTGTTATAAATTACTTAATTAACAACTAATAACTAGTTATCTAGTTAATTAACATTGTTGTAATTAAATATCAGCAATGCTGCAATTCATTCAAGTAGTTTCCGAGTTAGTTATTGCAATTAACTTGACGTATTACACGTTTGAATACCTCCATGCTAAGCTAGCGTTCAACAGATTTAAAAATTGTATAATAAAATGGATGACATTAAAAGTAAACTTGCCGATTCAAAAAGCAAACCCAACGTAAAAGACAGACTCTGTTCAGTAGTAACCTCTGGCGAAAGCAAAAAAATATTTAGGCAAAGAATACAGCGTCAAAGATATCGAAGCTGTTGCACCGGCAGATGCAAGAAAAATTGTTTAGTCTTTAAGAAGTAAAATTTGGCAGAAACATTTTGAGCTTGTATGCACGACTTTTAGGCATTGCTACACCTAAGATTTAACATCGATTTAAAATCGGAAGAAAACCTAACGCAAGATTTAGATGACAATCCAATCACATCACAAACGATGGGCCATTTCTTGAGCGAGCTTTGTTACAAGTACGGGGTTTGTTTATTACCCTTGGTAGCAACCTTAATTACGACTAAACATTTGGTTATCAACAAAAATACGTCTTTTGTAAAAGAAGATGTCAACAGCAATAGAAGTAACACCACCACCACCAGCCAACAGTCCAGTGAAGGCGGTTAGTTAAACGTTAAAAATCCCAAACGAGTTGAGCAGGGCAAACGCCTGGTGGAACATAACAAGAAGATGAAACAGCAACTCGCTAAAATGAAACTAAGCGAATTAATCCGCGAAGAAAAGTTGGGAAAAAAAATTTATCAATCAATCGCCGAAAACAGAACCTTAATTTTGGGTGGCTTAATAGTTGAAGGAATCGCTTTAGCGTTGTTTTTTAAAAAGAAGCCCGCTGCTCAAACAAAACCAAAACCAGTTCAGACAATACCAAAACCGGCGCAAGAAGTTTTAAACATGGAATAAATTTAAAATTGGTATATAATAATAATGAGTAACCTAAAATCACTAGACGTAAATGGAATCGCCATGGAATTTCCATGGCATACGCCATGCTCGGGAAAAAACTATTGAAAATCAAACTGCCCGATTTGGATTGGTTGTCGGTAGAAGACGTAGCCAAATGACTGCAATTGGCCACGCAGGGCTGGCTCATGGCGCAAGGTATCCTACCCGCAAGTTTACCAACTGCTTAAAATAGGTTTGTTATAAATGGCAGAAGGTGGATTTGACCCAGAGGAAATTCCTCTTTTGGATCAAAATAAAGACCCGAATCAAGATGATTTAGAATGGGACGATACCTTTGACACAACGCAACAAGAAACGTCGTTTGTCGAAGGCCAAGCAATGGTAAAACCTAAACAAGATACATTGAAACTAGGAAAGTTAATATTTATAATTAATCCCAAAATAAACGAGTTCTATGAATATCACAAAAGTAAAGGCCGATCAGATATCCCCTATACCCAATTATGAAAATTTTGAATATGTTACTTACGATAAGGATACAGAAGATTCTCCATATTATTCAAATTACGAATACTACGGTTTATATTATAAAGGAAGTCGGGTATACCGGTTTTACCAACTAGCAAAAAAATCCACAAGGTATTGTAAGTCTAGATACAATTAGAAAAAATGCCAAAGAAGCTGGTTATAATGGAAGCATTTTTATTAGAGACAACCTAGGTTTTAGAGATTATGAGAAAAAGGTCACCAAAGCGCAATTATTGCTAAAACCCTTTAAACCCAAAATGTCGAGACAGAAGAACTCCCCCAAGTATCAGATTGCGTTAGTGACATTGTAGAAGAACTTGCCGAAAACCTAGAAGCAAAAAACCGAAGGGCTTAATTATAGAGAACTCGCCACTTTAGAACAATAAGAGGAGAACAGCTCGACTTGGTCTTTCTGCAGGTGGTTGTGGGACAGCTTTACTAAGTATTTCTTCAGGTAGTAGAACACTTTCTAGTCTTGTTACTTCGGGACTTCCTTCTACCTTGAGTTTTCCATTCAATTTTGGTAGATTTTGTAATGTTGAAATATTCTGGTTGAAAGCTTACTTTTCTGACTTTAATCTTTTTATCGCCTTGCAAATTATCGATGGCATTTTCTAATTTAAACGTCTGTGGATTTGCAGTCAAATAAAAAGTATGCGTTTTCTTTTTATTGTACCGTTTTAGATTTATCTACGGCATCTTTAAAGTGCTTGTTCGATACTTGAAACAGACATTTGATTTCATTTTCTGAGACTTGCATTACGTCTTGATAGCACACTGCGTTCAATGCCTTGAGTGGTCGCCCTCGAGAAATTTTACCTGCTAAAATTTGGTTTAATTTGCATTCTAAGAGTACCACTTGTTCTTTAGTTAATTGAATATTTAGTTGTTTAAATATTTTGTCGGTTTTTGATTTGGGATTTTTATAAACAAAACGCTGATTATATTTGCTGTGTACGTTTGTACTTCAAAATCTGAATAAGGAGTTAATATTTCAAAACAGTTGTGACAATAGATAAATCCGTCTTTTATTCTTTTATTGTCTTGTGGACATATGTCTTTTGCCGGCGGCGGTGGTGTAGGCGTTGATATACCGAGTAATTCACAAATCTCTTCTTTTATCCAAGTCATGTTTATTATAAATAATTATTTCATTTAAAGTTAGTTTTCATTTTCAACTGATGCAAAAACCTCACTATTCTTGAATAGTTATGCTTAAAGTTGAAACATTTCATTTCAAAATTAAATCAGTTAACTTGACTTTTTCAAATTCAGATTCTAATTTGCTGATTTTTTTTCGCCTAATTCTGATTCCGATTCTCGGCTATCAAATGCTTCAAACGCTTGTAGTGCTGCTTTGTCTGAAAAAATGCAATCGTTTCTAATTTTAAACATTCTATACCTAATGCTAGCACCGCAAGACAAGCAACCGTGAGAACCAAAAAACAAATCTTTAAGATAAATTAATGATTGAGCATTGCAATGTCTATTTGTAAATTTCTCAATATTCGAAGGTGTAATGAGTTTCTTTCGATGATCAAACAAGGAAGCAGGGGGATCTATTGTAACTTACATTCGCTTTTTATTTGTATAAGGTGGTTTAACGACATAGTCTACCCTTTTTCTTTCGTCCTCTATAGACGAGACAGGCTTTATAAGCAGTAATGGTAATTGAGTGAAATTCAGAATTTGCTTGTTCAATAAACTTATAAACCACAAATATTTATGTTATCGAGAATGTCTGTCATAGACCGTTGTAATTGCTGGCTGATTTGTCGTCCCACTGTATTTTCAGATGTCTTATCTCTGCCATATTTATACAGTGGATTGATTCCATAGCAGGGCACATTCGTCATAATCAACAAACGTTTATTTTTGCCTTTGTGTCGATCAAAAAATGGGAGAGCAGCAAAAAGGGTAAATTTTGAAATTCCTTTGTCACAGGTTTTTCAAATACAAGTTGGTTTACATCAAAAGACCCATAAACAATGTTTGGGCCGGTATTGTTGGCATTGAGACGCCCGTGCGCGTCAGCCAAATGTCGAGATATTTTTCATTTTTCACAAATTAACTGGCTCTGTCTATTAAATAGTGTGTACAACCGACTGCATCTACATGTACCAAATTAAGCAATTTGACTGTGTCTTTTCAACAACAATTGATGTTGCTGTATCTTTCATTTCTGTTTCTATTTAACTAAATTTTTAATTAATCAAATAATCAAAAATGAATACCTGACTCGGCTTGTAAAGTTCCTCTCTGTCTTTTGTTTTCCTCACCAGGCAAATATGATGCTGTTGTACTTCTCGTTTTGCTTGTTCGATCAAATCTCCTTCAAATTGGGTGTTGTTTGCTGTTAACCACGCGGCGTGAGTCGCGATTAATTTTGTGTATTCGAACTGTGTGGCAAAAGTCAGGTCCATTTGGAGTGGGGTGGCGTTGTAGAATTTTTCATCATTTTTCTAAGTTGGGGCGCGCCGTGCGCGATTGCAGGTTTTGGGCTATTGCTGATTTTGGGAAAGTTTTGCGCTTTGCAGATCGCGGTTTGCAGAATTTTGCCGAGGTTGTGCAGGTTGCGGTTTGGCAAATTTTGGGTGAGTTTTGCGAAGTGTGAAAAAATGGCCAATTTTTGCAGATTGGAGAATGATTTGCTCGTTTTGCGGATCGTGGTATTTTGCGGTTTTGAGGATTGTGGAAAAAAAGGAGGAACAATTACATGTACATGTCTCTGCTGGTCTGCCCTTCAAAACTAAATGTGGCCAGAGCATGGGGTCTAGTTATGTAGAAGCAAGGGCCAAAGTAAATAAACATGGGGATACACTAACAGAAAACTCCAGGGGAACTCTTTACTAAACTATTTTTAGAGGGGAACTACTCCTATGAAAAGACGCTAACAAAAACTACAACAAATTTGTATTTGTATTTTGATTATAATTATCCCAAACCCGCAGCCAAAATGCCACGCGATCACGATTCTGATTTGGGCCACGACCAAACTAGCCTGATCTGTAGTCAGCACATTCATCAGTACATAAATGATGCACGAGTCGTGTGCGCATTCGCGTCACGGTTACGTGATGCGAGTACATGCATTGCTTTTAATAACATTTATGTTTCTCAAACTGGAAAGTGATGCGTAACACAGTTCTCAGAGCTCTTATGTTTAATAAAACCACAAATTTCATGAGTTCAGGCACCCTGTTAATCTAGCCGTGGGGGTCGAGGGGGTTTTAGAACAACCCCTGATACATGTAGGTAATGATTGTGATGACATATTTGTCATGTATATATGTTTGTTTATTTTTAATGCAGAATAGCTTGTGTGGCCTGCCCTACTCTCTACCAGAAACTCCAACATTTAAAACCAGCTACATGCACTACAGTACTTCTTGAGTTTGATAAAAGGTTTGCCATCTACAAAGAAGACTTTGTGTTTTACGACTACAACACACCACTAAAACTTACCAACCTACAAGAAAACTCCTTTGATGTGGTGGTTGCTGACCCTCCATACTTATCTGAAGAGTGTCTGAGGAAAATAGCCCAAACTGTGCAGTTTTTAAGCAGTGATAAAGTCATATTGTGTACAGGTATGTTGATTTTGCAGGTCTGCATGTTGGTAGAGGATGAAAATGAGTTTATGTTTTCTGCTATTCTTTGATTTGCACATGTTCGTCTTGGTTAACCCTAAAAGAGCCAGTTTATATTGCTGGGAGGGGGATTCTTCCCCCCTCCAAGAACTTGGCTTTTCAATGCCCAGTTTTTGAAAAATTTAGTAAGAAAGGAAAGATGTTCCTTAACAGTACAAAAATAACGTTTCAATTCAATCTGACATATGGTTTTGTTATGGTCATTGGGAAGTCCAAGCACACTTGTGCCAGCTGGTATTGTCACAAAATTGGTGTTAAAATGACTTAAATGAGTTTCTAAAAAGGGCTCGGCTTTTGAAAGAAATATCCTTCAGTGATATAGGAAATGTTGATAGGCAGATTCTCAGGCGTTCCCTCCCGTCCTCTTTTTCAGGTTAAGACAAAATGAAACATGTAAACATGTACATGTATGTACTTGTACATGTAGTTCAGAATCAGATTCTTAATTAAACTCGGCCCGTGCTACATGTATTCTTATATGATCTGTGCTGTGTACAATATCTGAATAAACACGAGTTTTACAGTTGGCCATTTTGCCTTTCAATAAATCACAGGCACAATTTCACAGATGAAAGTTGTTATGTATATGTACATGTACACGTATGATTCACTGCTCTTGACAGCAGAAAATGCAAAACTCAGGTGTGACATCAAAGTAGTACGTTGCAATAGAAGGTTAATATGGGAATGGGAAGTAGATCTTATTGAAAAAGAAACACTATTTTGATCATTTTCCCCGACTCCATGTTATTCAAAGTTATTCATCAAATGGGATGGTGCTGGACCATTTTGGGTTCCATGCCTCATTTTCATCTTTCAAAGTGTTGCTCAAAACATTTAGATAAAATAAATCACATATTTTAAATCATTCGTCATCATGAAAAAATTAATTTGTAATGAACTTTTTGCATTGCTTTCATTTTTATTAGGGTCCCAAAATAAAAGTTAACCTTGCTTTCAATTCAGTTTGTTATACCATGGTCAAAGATAATGAATTTTCATTGGTCGCGAATGATCATGTGACATGCTACAAGCACACATGTATCATTCACCCGTTGAGCGCACTGGCAATGTTGCCGGGCCGCAAAATATGATGGATCTCTTCCACGGTTGATGTGTCATGTCTGCTGCATTGTAATTGTTTAATCTTTGGTACGCGGGTGGATAGCTGCCGTGGGACTGGTACTACATGTATACGCACCAATTATTGTAGGAGATGTAAAATGTAAGGGGAACATTGAAGCACTGCATCCATTCACAAGTGCTACTGTCGTCACTCTGATCATGACAGAGACTTGCGGATTATTAGCTTTTTTGCTGCTTTGCCAAAAAGGCATTCTAATTGTTTTTTTTTTTTGCTTTTACGCAAGTTGTGGAAACGGCATTGTTGTTGTCAAGACAATCTCTTTTGTTTTTTCGCAAAATGGGAAAATGCCATTCTTTTAATCAAGATTTTTTTTCGTTCTCCTCGCTCTCCAAAAATTGTGTACATATATGTAGGTATTCATTGTATTTTTAAAATTTTCATACATGTACGTTGTCACAGGCGCATGTGTGGATAAGAGCTTTGAGATTTAGTTTCAAGAAGTAAACAGAGCTACACACTGTAAGCATCTAATTACGATTGCAGATCTTTTTGATGGAGTGGACTCCATTCCACCAGCGTGTGCACTGTCTTAATTACAGGGACAAAACAATTATGGCGATGAGGATGGGATTCAGCAAGGTTCGGTACATCTCACCCTCGATCGCAGAGAAAATGCGGGTAATTGTCGGCAGTGTTTTGCAGGCCCGCTGAACTGTTTACGCCATTTCACGCACGGATGTAATTTACAGTACGTGTGCATGTACGCTCTGTACCAGACCTGTGATACATGCACACCACCACTACACCATGCCACACCACGCCGCTGCACGACCACAGCTAGCCATATGCAGAGAGTCCTTGAATAAGCTGTAACCACTATACTACTTTGAGCCGAAGAGCTGTTCCATTGACTCTGCGAGCCATGTCAGTCACAGGAGACCATCACGCTGGCATAGTCGTTACGTGCGGTGCCAGTGCAGCAAGCACAATAGCAGGAAGAGCCATATGGTGGGAGACCACGGCGCCGAATGACTGCTGTAGACTGGACCGGTATTCTGGGTGTGGTGTCCTGTTGCCTTAGCCATGCATCCTTCCCTGTCGAAGTTGTTGTGGAGCACCAGCTGATTATACAGGAACCGTGAATTACATGTACATGTATGCATGGATCATGAAGATTTCAGAAACGCTTCGACAGGAGTTCAGCCTGTACCCGTTCCAAGTCAGCACTGGACCACCAAATGCCCTTGTCATCGGATGGTACTCCCCACAAGAACCGTTGCCCGTTCAGCGCCACACCGCTCAGTCGTCGCTGTCTCTAACGCAAGCAGACATCGCTCATCGGCATCGGACAACCGATTGCCCCTTGTCATTGAAGGGGATCTCCCACCAACGCTTCAACCTAACTGGTCACTGTCAACCCCGCCTGGCCGACGCTCCTCGGACTCATTGGGTTATCGTGAGGATTGCAGAATTGAACTTAGGCCTAATCAAATGTAGAACCAGTGTGGTGGTCACCGAACCTTTAACAATCTCTTCTTGGATTGAAATGTTGTATTGCGGTGCTAAGTGGACTATTGAATGTTAAATCGGTTTAAACCACATCTTGTAATGTTATTGTTGCATTGATTAATTGCCAAGTGGTTAAGATTTGCTTCATGTAGTTGGACTGCAGATTGTTCATATTGACCATGTTTTAGGAGTAGTCAATGTATATATATATATGCATATATTCTGCTATTGCTGAGACGGACATACAGTAATTAGTGTTACAGATACGTGTAGCAACAAACCAGTTTGGTGGTATAGTATCAGTGTTGAATGTTACAACTTAGTTTTGCTTTGCAGTAACGTTGTTGTATGATAGTTATCGCCCAAACTGGTTGCCACTTACATGTATCTTGACTATCAAATGGCATTATGGACAGTACAGTGACCGGTGTGATGGTGTACATGTACCTTTGATTTTAACCAGATTGAAGAATGCATTGAATCACTCAAAGCTTGGCTTGGATGAAACGAAGTGCTTAGTATTATTTACGAGCTTAGGTAGCAAGGGTTAACCCACCTTGCGAGCTTTTTTGCAACCTAATGAGCCTACCAACAAGTCTTACAAAGAATGTGCAGATTTGCTGAAGAGCTACTGTGCGCCTAAACCTAGCGAGATTGTGTTGAGGTATAGATTTTATACTACAATCCAGTCAGGAATCAACTACAGTTGACTCTCGGTAATATGAGCTCGGGTAAGACGAGACTCTGGTTTTATCCATGTAGATGGGCATTTTTGCCAGTTCTGACTAAATTGTGCACATTCCTGTGAGGGAAAAATGTGTAATACGAACTCAGATGTTACGAGATTTCGGTTAAGACGAGCATTTTTTTTGTGTGCCAGGTGGCCAAGTGTAAATCTATCGTTATCTGTCTATTTAGCACAAGCTTTTTTTGAAGGCAACTTGTCAATCAACCAGTCCATTCAATTTTGAAAAGTGCTTCCGTAATCTATGTGTGTACAATAGAACCGCGCTGCGGTTTTCCCTCAACGAATCAAGCCGTTTGTGTCCGCGGTGCTGCAAGAGAGACGAACAACAGGTGTTTGCTGTTCCCGTATGCGTACCCAACGTAAAAATTCTGTGTGGCAGCACCTGTATCGCCTAAATACAAGCAAGTGCTGCCAAAAGTGCTACAGTATTTAGGACAGTGGTGAACAAAAGAAGTCTTTTGTTTGATCCCCCGCCCCCCAGAATTCCCCAAGGAAGTCCCCCAGGAAACTAATAAAAATTGTGTTCCGTAACCAAACGCCCGGCCCAAAAACTGCCCACCCTCTGTCGAAAAATTGTTACCCTCTCTCCACTGTAACATGGAAATAACACCCCTTTTGATTGTGACATTCTCTAAATTCTCGATAAGAAAATCACGAATAAACCGTGGTTTTCAGTCCAAAATTTTTTACAAAAATAACAACCTCAAGTTTCTACCAAACCCACACGCCATTCCAAGGTACATTCAGATATTCGCTCTTACTGTCCACACCGCCAGTAGGTGATTTCCTCACATTTTTATGTGCAACAACCACAGCTCTGGTTGGCGATCAACTAAAATGTTAATGCACTTAAGTTACGTGCGTGCATGTGGATCTCATCACGACGTGCTGGGCCGGGGACGTGTCTTTTTAAAATCAAATTCGTGTAACAAACAAAACTACAGTATGTGCCTTTAAACAAAAGGTTATGCAAGCTTCTAGTTGTCCGCATGTACGCTTTACGTATGATCAATCGGTGATACATACATGGTCAAACAGGACGGAAGCTTTCACCCAAGCCGAGGTCCAGATAATACGAGCTAATTTAGTAAGTTCCAAGGCCCTTGTATTAATGAGAGTCGACTGTATTCAGCGGAAGCTGCTTAGCGATACCAGCCTCACATTTGAGAAGGTTTTGAGCATCGCTACCGCTATGGAAATGGCCAGCAAGGTTGTGGAGAAGATTAAGGGAATTAGTCAGCCAGAGAGTCAGCCTGTAGACTCAAATGTCAACAAAATGTAGTTTTCACAGAAACCGAAGCTGAAGTTTGCCAGTAAACCATCAAGCACTACCAAAGGCAAACGTCAGTCGGAAGAGCTAGTGGAAGCTTCACCCAGTCGAAGTGTTGGCATTGCGATGCCACACAAACACATACCTGTGATGCATCCCATTGAAAACAGAAATTGCCACAAGTGCCGACGTATGGGTCACATGAAGAGCCAGCGTGACAAGGTGCAAGAGTTTAAGCGGCGCCAGCAAAGGAAAGGGTTGAAAGTTCATCGCCTCGAAGATGAGGAACACCTGGAGGATAAAGCCGCCATATTGGGCCACATGGA